CACCACTACCACTACTACCACTACTACCACTACTACCACTACTACCGATTATTACTACTAATACGATTACTACCAATAATACTATCTACTATTACTGTTAATACTAGTATTACTTGTCAATACTGCCTGTTATCACGATTAAACTTAGTATTACTGTTAGTACTACTACGGTGGATACTAGAAATCCTGCATGACCCTAAGTACCTTATACGTTAAGAATCATGGGACTGTAGTATATTAAGTTCATGCAGGATTTTAGTATCAACAGTATCATTACAGCGAGCAGCCTTTTCCTTCCTGTGCTTCTTGGGATCCTTTGGCTGAGCATTGAGCCACAGCGTTCCAGGCGTAAAGATCCTTAGCAAGCCAGGCGTTGTAGTTCAGGGTTTAGGGTTTAGGGTTTTAGGGGTTCGGGTGGCTTGTGTGAGCTTGGGTGTCGTTTGCACAGCCCAGTTTCCAGGATAGTCTCTTCCATTGCTAGCCTGAACCCTACATATCCCTACATAACCCCAACTTTCCATTTCGTTGTCTATGCTTTCCGTTTTTGGGGGTTACAAGTGCCCTAAACCCCAACCCTAAACCCTAAACTCTAAACCTTAAACCCCAATCCGAACCCTGACCTAAACCCTAAACTCCTTGTCTTGAGCCACGGGTCGCGCGCAGATTCCTGAAGCCAGCCAAGGTGAAGGGAGTTGACACCTGGTTTAGGGTTGAATAAGAGGATCCGGATATGGACCCCCAAAATCCCTAAACCCGAAGCCAATAAACCCACAAAATACCCTAATCCTTATTACAGGGATCCCCAAAAACGTACCCCTAGTTTTGGCGAACCCTAAACCTTAAATAGTAGTTTCCATTTTCTTTTGCGTTATCCCTATATAACCCCTATAAACCTACCAAAAAAGGGTACCTTAACCCTAAACCCTAAACTCTAATTTTGGGAAACCCGCACCAGTGGGCAGCCGCAGTTAGCTTTGAACTTGGCATTGGGATTCCTTAGTATCAGAGGGGTTTTAAGGTCCCTTATGTAGATAGAATATGGTGGTAATATTGGGATAATGGAGGAGAAAATGCAAACTACTATGTAGAGTTTAGGGTCTGGGGTTAAGGGATTTGAGGAATTTGTGCTTTAGCATTTGCTGGCTGCACCACCTTGCATACCTTCTTGTTAATGCGCGGCTGGGACTCAGAATAGTCCATTCCCATATTGATTCCGTCATTTCAACGGAAGATGGCGATTCCACACCGCCGAGCACGTCAAGGCGATCCTTGGTTGGGCAGCAGCACGGCGCTCACGTCAAGTTCAATGCGCTGAGCAGGCCGATCTCTGCATGCAGAGCGTTGCCAACCTAAATAGACTTTAACAAGGAGAATAATAATAGCCATATGTCTAATAACAAGCAATAAGTATAACAGTGGTAATAAGAATAGCAATGAGAGCAGATCTTTCAGTGCAACGACTAGAATCCCCCTGTTATGAGTCCGCATGCGGGAACGACCCACGCTGTCACACAGTCATCTTCATGCCGGCTCCTTTTTACGGAACCGTGTAAGCTGCAGCGTGAAACGCAAAGTCATGTTCCGTGTTCTTTTGCATTTGATTCTGCGTATAACCCTATTCCCCGTATGTATATGAGCTAATGTGGGACCCCCTTTTAATGAGTAGGGCCCCCCCCTAGCATGAGGGCCCTCCGAAAAATGGAAATCAGGGATCCTCAATGCGGCCCCCTGAGCTCCCACGCTTCTGAGGTCCCTGTGGATTGATTTAAAAGGGATTGTTGGGAATGCACAAAGAACAGGACACGTTATAGGGGGCCTTGCAATCATTGCCCTGATCCTGAATAGGCAGGCCCCAAAACTCATTCTAGGGCACCGGTTCGATGAAGTAGGTCCAACATTATGGCCTATAATCCTGTTAAGGAGTTTAGACTATAGCTCATATGATATATATATATATAAAAATAAAGTTCCATTTCTTTGAGTCTCCATTGTTGGGGTATTGTTCTTTTTAAGGAGTTTGGACCCTAAACCCTAAACCCTATAGCCCCTGTATATGAAACCCTTGAAGCGATCCCATAGCATCAATCCTTACCCGGGGCACCTCGCCCACTGGTAGCTCCAACCCAGGCCTCAGCATCAGCGCGTTGTACCATCTAGTGAAGGGTTTAGGGTGTTTAGGGTTTCGGGTTCAGGGTGAAAGGTTTAGAGGTCTAGGGGTTTAGGTTTTCGGGCAAAGAGCACTGTACCATCGTGATAGTGGAGAATCAAATGGAAAGAACGTGAAAAATGAAATGGAAACTGGGATCAAATCATCGCTTTTCATTTGGTAGTGTCCAAGGAAATGGAGTCCCAATGTAGACACCAACCTAAACCCTAAACCCTAAACCTACTGTATACCTTCTTATAGGGACTCCCAGGCGCCAGTGCAAGCTCAGTCGGAAGTTGAAAACAAAATCCTGTTTGAGATGGGACTTAAGGTTTATCATCATGATGGGCCACGGCTAAACGTCGAACAAAACAAAGAGATCGGTGCCCTCGCTGCAAGCGGCCCATTTGCTCAAGCTGCACTAACCCAAACGCAAGTTCTGACTAGGTAAGGTCCCAAACCCAAGTTAAGACTAGGTAATATACCCAAATCTCCTGTATTCTCCTATAATCTCCTACAATCTCCGATCAATACTACCAGGAATGGCCATCTCGTGGTGAGCGTCGGTGGGCCAACTTGTGGAGATGCAGGAAGGCCTGGGCAGAGAAATGTTCAGGGATCTTGGGTGTAGGGTCTAGGGTTTAGGACCAAAGATGTAGGGTTTAGGGGAACCTCTCTCGTGGATAAATGGAGTCATGGTAGAAAAGCTATGTATGGGTTGTACAGGGATTATTTCGGGAGAGCACCCCGACACCAATAATGGAGAAGTACATGGACGATCAGATGAAATGTGAGACTGCCCAGCAAGACCAATGCTCATATAATTGAGGAACATACCGTAAATCACACTAGGATCCCTAATATGGTCTGAGGAATATTCCTTACTTAAGGGGTATTGGGATCCTTGGCTGGGCAGGCTGAAATTACCCTCGCACACACTGACACATTAGCAGGGAGCCCTCCAGGGTCGGGCTTCTAACGCGCACACGCGCACCCTAAATCCTAAATCCACAAAGCCTTTTTTGGGAAGGGACTCTAAAGGACGCCCTGACTCCTGCCTGCCGGTCAACGGAACTAGCTGCTGCGCCACAAGTGGACACACATACATACACCCACTGAAGTATTTACCAGGGTGAGAACCTATCAACTGCCGCGCTCCATGAATGCCTGTAAACACTCACTAGTGGCCGCACTGTCGTCTGCGAGGACTCTGTGGCGGCTTGCAGAAAACATCCTTGCAATACAGCATACGACTGCTCCAAAACCAGCAGTTCCACGGCCCCAAAGCCTAAACCCTAAACCCCAAACCTTACCCTAAACCCTAAACCCTAAACCCTAGACCCTCAAACCCTAAACTTTAAACCACAAACCCAAATCCTAAACCCAAATCCTACCCGTGGCTTAGGCAGTGGCATTCGCAAAGGGCCAACGGAATGGCTGGCAGCCGGTCCGCAGCCGGGGGCAGGCCTTGGGCTCTTTTGCGATAGGGTTTAGGGTTTAGGGTCTAAACTCCTTAAAGGGGTTATATATATATATACATATATGGGGCGTTACATAGAGTTTAGTGTCCAAACTCCGTACAGGGGGGGATATAAGCTTGAAGGTCCCCCTCTTTTCCCCCTATATATCCCCCTATAAGTCCCCCCCAACCTAACTTAAGTCCGTAGCTCATATGGGACTAGTTAAGGTTCCTATCATCGGGCATATTAAGACGGATACAAGGAGTTTAGACTCCAGCTCATATAAGTACTAACTACTATTACCAAGTACGACTACTACTACTACTACTACTCCTGCTGCTGCTACTACTACTACTACCACTACTACTACTGCCACTACTGCCACTACTGCCACTACGATGGTTACTATGAATATCACGAGTATTCCTATTATTCCTACTGTTACCACTATTTCTGTTATTCCTACTATGACTTCTATTCCTTCGACTGCTTCTACTGTTTCTGGGAACCCTTTCTGGCACATAAGACTTGACAGCACAGATCTCTCACATGAGCTATAGTCTAAACTCCTAGTATCCACCTAATAATACCCCTATAGTAGTCCCCTATATAGTCCCCTATATAACCCCCCTTTGAGGAGTTTAGACTGTAGCTCACATGTTTTGCCAACTTCACAAGGTCTGCTAACTTGATTTTGCACAGACATATATCAGGATAAATCCAAAGAAAATGCAAGCTACTATTTAGGGTTTAGGGTCTGGGGTTTAGGGGTGAATATGGGAATACATTATATGGGTTACTGTTTATATTGTTACTATTACTATTATTGTTCTTGTAATTATTGTTACTATTACTCATATTTTTACTACTGCTATTATTGATATATTAGTACTATCATGAGGTTGACGTTCTACAATTTGGGTTTTCTCAAAATTGTGGGCCCCTTAATAACCCCCAAAATATTCCCTGGGATAATGGAGAATCAAATTGCAAAGAAAATGGAAAATGACATGGAAACTGAGGTTATGTGGGTTGTTCTCAAAATTGTGGGCCCCTTGGCTATAGATCATATTACGGCACCTAATATTTCGGGCTACCTAAATGGGACCCTAATTTTGGGAACTACCCATATCTTCATGATGAGAACACCTTGAGAAACACGTGGCTTCGACCTCCTTTTCACGGAATGCTTCCTTGAAATGCTCACGATGACATCTGCGAGGTCGCTTGGCTTCTCAACCGCTGCGTTGGGCTGTGGGCCACCTGACATGCCTTCATGAATCCGGACTGAGGAATTCTCGCACCTGTCGCGGTTGAACCTGGTATGTACTGGCCGCAGTGCTCTTCTAAGCTTCACCATGCTGGGGCATCAAACACGGTCATTCTTTTCATCGTCACACAGGGTGCACAGCACAAACCGGTGGGTCAAAGTTTCCAGCGGTGCGGTAGTAGATGATGGAGTAGCGATCCCCTGTATACCCGGACACCCAGTGCGGGAAGCGCCCATCAATGCAAACAATACGATTGCGCGTGTCCAGCACCCGCACCAAGTTAGCGTTCTCCTCGATACACAACTCGCCACCCTTCTCAAAGTTTCCTGCTGAAAGGGCATATTGAACAGAAAGGTCGTTCTGATCCACGTGCGGGCTTCCTCGGAAGTTCTTGGTCACTGCCATAGCTGTGAAATTGAAGGCCGCTGCTTTCTGAGATGCTTCGGAGAGAGTCTGCCCAGCCAGATTCCACAGCTCCCCTAGCAAACGTTCTTCACCCCAAGCATCTGCAAACCTTGCAGCCTGCGCAGCCCTCAAAATCAGATAGCCCGATGCATTAACGCTTGGCCGGGCATTTTCTGCAAACTTAATGCGCTCAAGGACTGCCAGCAGACGAGCAACTGCATCCGGCGGAAGCTGTACGCCCACGGAGTGTTTCCAAATCCTTGGTTGGCCCTCGTATGCCTCGCACAAGGCTTGGACAAGCTCAACTCTGCGTCGCTCTTTGAAGCCCATGACAAAAAACTCTGCAGGTGCAGTCGGCCGAACAGATTGCCCAAACTGGATTAATCGCTCCTCCATCTGCTCAGTTGTCAAGGCCTCCAACTGTGAGGCCAGAGGTGGTTGCGGCGGTTGAAGCGGTTGCGGTTGCAGCCCGCTTTCAGCGTCAGAAGCGGACGACTCGAAGCTTAGCTCTGATCTCGCAGGGCACGAATCGATCTTTGGACGTCGCTGGTCAATTGAGCTGGGCTTTCGAGCAGCCACGAAAATCATGCCTGTGTTCCCCCGTTTCTTGCAGCGTGCATCTGTGAGGATGGCATGGCCCTCATCAAAATCTGGCATGCGACCACGGATGCTGAGCTTAAATCCATGTGACTCCAAGCTCCTCTTCACATCCTCCCACGTGTCTAGGCGCCGATTGTGGGTCCAGTCCCACTCCACGACCAAGCGCCGGACTACTCCGAAGTCCTCGACTGAAGTTATGTAACGCTCTGCCCCCTCTGCGTCAATCTTAATCACCGAGGGATTGTACTCCGCAATCAGGTCCTGCAACGTGATGCACTGCACCGGGATAGTGTCATCCGCATGGCTGCGTGTAGTAAAGAGCGATGCGAAAAACAGACGCGAGGGGTTGTTGGTGCCACCTTACTGGTGGTTAACAAGGAACAAAGGAATATGTTCCGCAGGATTGCTATAGGATGCTGTAGGGATTATCTTCCCAGTGTCCACACTAACCACCAGTAAGCCGCGGTGTGCAAAGAGGCCGCGCTGGCCACACGAGTCGGACAATGCCTGATTCAGAAGCGTGGCCCTTGGTGCTTGCCCAAGGTTTTGGGCTAAGATGTCAAAGGTCACCTTACTGGTGGTTTAGGGTTTTGGGGTTTAGGACTTAGGGTTTAGGGCTTAGAGTTTAGGGCTTAGTAACTAAGAAAGGAATAAAATCCGCTAGAATCCCAACAGAACCCCTATGTAGCCCCTACATGCTATGTTCCCTTGTTCCTTACGAACCGCCAGTAAGTAACAGGATGTGGTTCCACGCACACCACCGACACCCCAGGGGTCTTGAGAGCCAGGGCTGATGCAGTCCCAACATGTGCTCCAATATCCTGGGTTGCTGTGCAGGAACTTACATTAAGGGTTTAGGGTTCAGGGTTACTATAGTACCCCCTATACTGGGAATCAAATGGAAAAGAAAATGGAAAATGAAATGGAAACTGGGGGAATATAGGGATTTAAGGAACTTAGTTTAAGTTACTGTATTGAGGAAACCCTATCATTGACAATTTGTGCCCATTATGGTAACTTAACTAAGATACCTTAACAGCAACCCAGTATCAAGGAACACGTCGCCAGAGTCAAGAATACAAGCCTTGCCTGGTGCTAAGCTGTAGCAATTGGAGTTGACTACATCTTTCCTTGGTTGCTCTTTAATCCCACAATGAAAGTTTAACTCTTAGCTGCCATTATAAGAAACAAAAGAACCCTGATAGCTGTAGAGTGCTAAAGTTGTAACAAACTTCCAATATCATTACTATCAATAGTACTACCACTGCTACTGTACTACTACTACTACTACTACTACTGGCACCATTACCAATAACAACAACAACGACAACAACAACTACAACAAAAATAAGAATAAGAACAAGAACAATAACAACAACAACAAGAAGAACAACAACACCAACAACAACAACAACCACAACCAT